ATGGTACATTCCTTTGCAGAAAAACCAGTAATGCTAGCCGTAACTGGTGATCCATTATTAACAATAAGTTGCACTTGAAAACATCTATTAATTACTTTACATATTTAAATCACCGACTAATAAAGAGTTTAGGTTAAAGATTTATGTTTTTGGAAGCCTCCACAATAAAGCCTGAAATTTTGTAGACTCTTTAAATGAAAGTGCGTGGAAAAGAGTAATTTCTTTAATATATTCATCCTCCACAGTCTTATAAGCATTACGCATCCAGTAAAAATCTCAAGTAGCAAATAATTATAAGGCACTGAAATACATCAATTCTAAATTTGGTTTAATGACACCATAGAACTCTGAACATAGACTAATTTGAAAAAAAGGTTGAAATAATCCTAAACGATAAAACGTAGTTAATCGTAGATTAAACAACATACGCGTTAGATTTTCCACTTACCAGACTCTTCTTTCCGTTGGAAACTTAATGACCGAACTATCAAAATAGCAAAATATATTTGATAAACTGAAGCTTCTGTTTCACTTAGTTGGCAGAAAAATATGTGTTCAATCGATACGATTTACCCAAATAAACACTAAGATTCCTAATGTGTTTGTGTGATTCCCAGCGTGAATATTAGTGAATACCTGCACACAAACATAAACACAATGAAAGCATCAACTTTTTAGTGAATCAGTCCAATCAGGAACCCAAAAGAGGAAGAAAATAGGATATTTTCCAAAAATATTTGAACACATGCTGTCTGGACTTGCGGTCTGCCCTACTGGGGCAATAATCAAAGTAATGAAGCACACTACCCTTTATATGCATTTTGACCGTGCCCAGTTCTTATTTAGATGTTTTTAACAAATGGTTTTTGTTGAGGAAGGGGAATGAAGCATAAAAGTTAGTTTAAATGGAAAAAACGTTTACTTGGAGACAACGTGTTATAAAAAAACTAGATTTTTTATGTAGGCAATACATTTTTCTTTCATATAATACTTGTGAAATGTTAGGAAAGGTAGTGTCCTAAATAATTTTTTGATAGAATATGAATAGCTTATTGATTACAGGCAACTTAAATCACTGTGAATATACTGATTGTTAAAGTGGGCAGATTCCTAATATTTATTTTAGTAAGTGTGCATCTACACATTAGATTGTTTCTACCTACATTTAAATCATACTAGTCTACGAATATATTTATTTAATATCATACAATTCAACTGGAGCTGAATAAATAAATCTAAACTTATTGTCAAATGAGTCACTACTGAAAAGTTTTAGTTTAAAGTAAATAAATGGGTTTTATATTTTGCCTTCAATTTTTAATATTTGGACGACTAGTAAATTACATATTATGTCCGTTGTACATACACTGTTTCGCGAAAATGGAGATAACCCAGTCAAGTAAATTCACATGAATTATCGGCTCAAGTAGCCAGTTAGTTGAGTTTAATATTTTAATCCAATATTCTCCATCAACCATTATTTCGACTGGTAGTATTATTTGATCATAACGAAATGCGATTGGCGCAACAAAATGACTTAAGTGCAAACTCTGATAGTTAGAAATAACAAACTGAATGTTATTTTGAATCTGCATTATGAGCAACAGTGGTATCATAAAAATGATCCAGTAAACAAATTGTTTCTCCACTATTAAAACATTTTCGAAACTACGTGTAAATGTAAAACTCCTTTGAAACATGTAGATAGTGAAAAGTCTGAGACATCCTATGTATATGTGAATCACATCAGTACATCAGTTAAGGATTAAGGGAATAGATAAATGATGTAAAAAGTCACAGTTTAGTTTAATTAAAAAGTTAATACTTCAGTACAGTAACTTTTACCTGTAGACTCGTAGCTATTGGTGACGATTTGACTCATAATGAAGACAAACGATGGACAAATTACGAATTAACTGCTATGAGAAAGAACATACACAACAATCCTTGTCACAATTCTCAGTGCATCGTATCAAGTTTAAACTTCGTAATACTCTGTGAATTTATGAATATAAATTTGTTGGTTGGATGGAAACTGATCGGTCTCGGATTAGCGATCACTGTTATGTTATCCGGTCCCTGTACCAGTCTACTTGTGACAATAAAATTGTTGTATTATTTGTACTTAACTGAAGTTTTACACTTGAAATATGTATTTAGTCTAATGTGCATTTGACTTTCACAACTATGATGTTTTCTACGCTCAACAACTTCTTAGCTGATTTACATTTTCTAGTTTATTGTCTGTGTTAAAAAATAGAATTTCTGTATATGTGTTTTATTCCTCTTATTTCAGACTTTATAATAACAGTGGATAAGAAGTATTAGGATATATTGATACTGTAAGGTGTTTCAAATCAATATGCAACATGCGACATGGTGCGCTGTTCAGAGAGTTCAGTGTGGGGCAAGCGGTAATAGCAAGAGATTGCTATGGAGTAAAGCCAACTTGGAAGATTGGAACTATAATCGACAGCAAAGGGAAAGTTATTTATGAAGTAAAAGTCGGAGAAAAGATATGGGTGTGACATACAAACCAAATACGACTGACCAGACTTAACTGAAGTTACTTTACAAAGTATATAACACTTAAACGTTGCACACTGTTTCAATCCCATTAAGAAAAATACTGAAAATGTTTGTAGATTTCGAAAAAGGCAACGTGAATCAAGATTATAAAAGTCATTCAGAAAGAAATCAAAGTTAACCTAATTTAACTGAATTTTAATATTGCAGCTGTTACTCTTGTCTCACACTTTCATTTAATATACTACTATGTTGTTAGATTATGACTCTGGTGAATGCATTTTCTGAGGTTCAGTACTTACAAAAAGTCAAGGGTTATCACCAGGATAAGTGACCCAACATAATGGAGTTTGATCAACAATAAGTAGAAATGGTGTGACATGAGCCTAGAGTAAATTGACCGTTATACTTTAGTTTTTGTGGTTTTCGTAAGCCAGTTTATTCCATCAGTTGATGAAGGAGATGTAGTCATCAAACCAATGTGCACCCAACTTATAATATTAGGAGATACAGTAATAACATATCAGTTTTTTATACCTGCAGCCATCCAGACATAAGATATATTAAATAAAGGGAAAATGAATAACTGGAAATACTGATGAGGTACTATTGTAGGTTTATAAGTTGAACAGAAAATGATCCAAAGAGAACCTATTTTGTATACGTGAAAACAAAAATAATTATCTATACTAAAGTCACAAAGAAATGCGTTATCTATGACAACCTTGAAACATATTTAATTCAGATCAACGAATGTTAATGTTTATCCTTCTGGGACTTTATAATGGCGCGAATAAACTCACACTCATAGTTAAGGATCTTGTTTTTACAATAAATAACAACCGGGGTTGATTATGCATTTACTGATAATAAATTCTTGGTTAACATTTATTGAACGAAAGTATTTCCTTAATATCTTATCACAACACTAGTAAGTCATATAATTAGGGGGAAATGAATAACTGTAACCAATAGATTGGGAATAACTTAATAGTAGTAAATCGTATAATAATAGCCATTAAGTCTTGAGATGGTGAAGATTTGTAGCTCACGTTGATGATTTTGATGGAGTTTTGTCCTCTAAGCTCCAGTTCAGAGCCGGAGTCTATAAACACTTCTCGGAAGTTACCCATAATTTAATCTTTTTTGCATATAACACCTCCCTTTTTTGAAGCATTAGGGATAATAAAAATCATAAGGATTTGTTCTTATTCGGTCAGATTTTCGTCGGATGATCTGCATCTGCCTTGGCTGTGTTACACACTTTCTCTTGTTACTTGAGTTATTTTTAGGTTCATTAGCCATTTCGGTTAATTATTAATGGTATAGCCAGCTTTAAATCACATCGAATCCCCCACTATTTTCTGGTCAGCCGTATTTGGTTTGTATGTCACACCCATATCTTTTCTCCGACTTTTACTTCATAAATAACTTTCCCTTTGCTGTCGATTATAGTTCCAATCTTCCAAGTTGGCTTTACTCCATAGCAATCTCTTGCTATTACCGCTTGCCCCACACTGAACTCTCTGAACAGCGCACCATGTCGCATGTTGCATATTGATTTGAAACACCTTACAGTATCAATATATCCTAATACTTCTTATCCACTGTTATTATAAAGTCTGAAATAAGAGGAATAAAACACATATACAGAAATTCTATTTTTTAACACAGACAATAAACTAGAAAATGTAAATCAGCTAAGAAGTTGTTGAGCGTAGAAAACATCATAGTTGTGAAAGTCAAATGCACATTAGACTAAATACATATTTCAAGTGTAAAACTTCAGTTAAGTACAAATAATACAACAATTTTATTGTCACAAGTAGACTGGTACAGGGACCGGATAACATAACAGTGATCGCTAATCCGAGACCGATCAGTTTCCATCCAACCAACAAATTTATATTCATAAATTCACAGAGTATTACGAAGTTTAAACTTGATACGATGCACTGAGAATTGTGACAAGGATTGTTGTGTATGTTCTTTCTCATAGCAGTTAATTCGTAATTTGTCCATCGTTTGTCTTCATTATGAGTCAAATCGTCACCAATAGCTACGAGTCTACAGGTAAAAGTTACTGTACTGAAGTATTAACTTTTTAATTAAACTAAACTGTGACTTTTTACATCATTTATCTATTCCCTTAATCCTTAACTGATGTACTGATGTGATTCACATATACATAGGATGTCTCAGACTTTTCACTATCTACATGTTTCAAAGGAGTTTTACATTTACACGTAGTTTCGAAAATGTTTTAATAGTGGAGAAACAATTTGTTTACTGGATCATTTTTATGATACCACTGTTGCTCATAATGCAGATTCAAAATAACATTCAGTTTGTTATTTCTAACTATCAGAGTTTGCACTTAAGTCATTTTGTTGCGCCAATCGCATTTCGTTATCGCAAAATATCTTCAAATTTAGCGAATAAAGTACACGTTTTGTTTCATTATCCTAGACTTATTTGATTTATCATGTTTTGTCTGTCTTTCATTTTGCTAATTTTGTCAGTAATTCGAGAAAGAAAGTAAGACATATGTATATGATATGCAATATCGTTTCAGCTTTTTATAAACGACCTAGATGCTGAAAATCAATTATAATTACTTATTGGCCAATTCTGATATTCTAACCTAAATCGAGACATAATTTAACCAGTTGATTCTTTTCATGCCAAAAATAGCTGAAAAGGTGTACTTGTGTATCGCAAATATACTTTCAAAACTTCTTCCGGTCTGCTCTTATTCCTGGTCTCACCATGACCTCATTATTTTGGCCTGTTGCTCCTGATGAGGTTGAATATAAGAATCGCAGCAAAATATCAGTTGTTGGTTGTGGAGCAGTTGGAACATCGATTGCATTTTCTCTGCTCGATATGGCTGGTGCAATTGCCCTAATTGATGTCAATGAATTTAAGGTAAAGGGTGAAGTCATGGATTTGATGCAAGGTCAGATGTTCTCCGGATATTGTAAAATTACTGGTGGTTCCGACTTTAAATTGACGACAAATTCAGATATTATCGTAGTTACAGCATGTGTGACTGATAAAAACGAAAATCCTGAACAACAATTAGTAAAAAATGTTAAACTTTATCAGGAAATAATCCCTAAGATTACTTATCATAGTCCTCAATGTGTTTTGTTGATTGTCACAAATCCAGTTGATATAATGACACATGTAGCCGCCAAACTCAGTGGTTTCCCGAAACATCGAGTTTTTGGTACTGGGACAATTTTGGACTCAGCAAGATTCCGTTATCTTCTTGGTCAGAAATTTAGTGTCGATGCCTCATCAGTTAATGGTTATATAATTGGAGAACTTGGTGAAAATAGTATACCTTTATGGAGTACCGTGAATATTGCTGGTGAACGTTTAGTCACAAAAAATGCACATATTGGATGTTCAAGTGATCCTGAAAATTTCAAATTGGTTTATGAATCGACAATCAAAAGTACAGAAGAACTTAACCGATTAAAAGGTTGTAATTCATGGTCTATTGGACTTGCTTGTCGTGCCATATGTGATGCTATAATACACAATCTTCATACCATTTATCCCGTCTCAGTGTATGTTAAAGATGTGAATGGGATCCAAGAAGACGCTTTTCTGAGTTTTCCTTCTTTGATCAACTCTAAAGGAATAAGTCATATAATACCACAGCAGTTAAATCCTGATGAAGAAAGGAAAATAAAACAAAGTGTTCAGAAGCAAATAAACATGGTGATACATCTAGGCATATGAAGCTTCACTGTAATGGATATTTTCAGTTTGTTCAGAATGACTTTTATTATTTATCCGTGAGTTTTTGCCATTTTGATAAACTACTTTTAATACACTAGTGCATTGGAAGTACTTCAGATGAATTTTCTTTCATTTGAGTGTGTTTTTATCAGTAACAGATAGAAAATAGTATAATCAAAATTTACCTCAATTAAACAGACGTGTGGTAGCTATTGTCCTGTTATGGTTACAACTAATAATTACTAGTAATGGTTTTAATACAATAAGAATGGCAGCAAGTATTTAAGAAGTACGTTTCATAAAAAAGTGAATGTTCATTTAGTAATTTAAGCTCAACTTTACTATGAAAACGGACCCATATAGTGTAGGTTTCCCTAGAGACAAGTTTAAGACATGAAACTTCCATAGCATTTTACATAGACAATTCTTGTTAACCTCTAGGCTTATTAAATATATACATGTAAAATAGCAATTAGTGTAAGAGCATTTCGAAATAGATTGTTGCTAAAAATATTTCACGCTGTATGACACATTATAATTTCAGGTCTCAACAGAGACCAAATGAAATATGAATGTTGACATTCCAACGAAAGATGTAGATATCCCGACATCTCGTCTAAGATTTCCTGCAATCCAGAATGTACGCATTTTGGTTAACAGATCATGAATGAACAGACGTAGATATTTATTCTTCAATTTACATTCACTTAATTATCCAAATAATTTTATGCGTTATATTATTTTATCTACGTGTAAACTTTATTTAACTTGCTTAAGTAGAAAATTATGCTGATTCAGTCTATCCATGGAATGAAATTCTGTATTCATAACAGAAACTTTGATATTCATTTATTACTTTCCATATTTTAAATATCTAGAAAGATTATTCGTAGTATAACATTACGGTGATAGTTCAGAAACTAGTACAATTAACGAATGATAACTACAGAGTTTATTCTCTAATTAGAGATTCAAATTATATAAAAATTCCTGTCGAATATTTGAGAAATACTAAGCTTTAGTTCAATATTACTAATTATTTACTTGTTACCAAGTTTTGATTTTATATATTTGAATAAAAATAGAGTCCTTATTGTCTTTGACACTGTAAAAATAATCTGTTACTATAATTAGTTTTCCCAGTAAATTTAGATAAAGTAGCTATGGTTTTATATTTGGTTGATAACAAGATGGTTTGTATATTCGCCTCAAATGTGTCACTGATTGTCACTATCGTTAACAGTACAACTTTAATGATTAGTAAAAATACTAAGAAAGTTATCTAGGTGTTGGTTGCAAAGGTATCTATCTATCTATCTATCTATCTATCTATCTATCTATCTATCTATCTATCTATCTATCTATCTATCTATCTATCTATCTATCTATCTATCTATCTATCTATCTATCTATCTATCTATCTATCTATCTATCTATCTATCTATCTATCTATCTATCTATCTATCTATCTATCTATCTATCTATCTATCTATCTATCTATCTATCTATCTATCTATCTATCTATCTATCTATCTATCTATCTATCTATCTATCTATCTATCTATCTATCTATCTATCTATCTATCTATCTATCTATCTATCTATCTATCTATCTATCTATCTATCTATCTATCTATCTATCTATCTATCTATCTATCTATCTATCTATCTATCTATCTATCTATCTATCTATCTATCTATCTATCTATCTATCTATCTATCTATCTATCTATCTATCTATCTATCTATCTATCTATCTATCTATCTATCTATCTATCTATCTATCTATCTATCTATCTATCTATCTATCTATCTATCTATCTATCTATCTATCTATCTATCTATCTATCTATCTATCTATCTATCTATCTATCTATCTATCTATCTATCTATCTATCTATCTATCTATCTATCTATCTATCTATCTATCTATCTATCTATCTATCTATCTATCTATCTATCTATCTATCTATCTATCTATCTATCTATCTATCTATCTATCTATCTATCTATCTATCTATCTATCTATCTATCTATCTATCTATCTATCTATCTATCTATCTATCTATCTATCTATCTATCTATCTATCTATCTATCTATCTATCTATCTATCTATCTATCTATCTATCTATCTATCTATCTATCTATCTATCTATCTATCTATCTATCTATCTATCTATCTATCTATCTATCTATCTATCTATCTATCTATCTATCTATCTATCTATCTATCTATCTATCTATCTATCTATCTATCTATCTATCTATCTATCTATCTATCTATCTATCTATCTATCTATCTATCTATCTATCTATCTATCTATCTATCTATCTATCTATCTATCTATCTATCTATCTATCTATCTATCTATCTATCTATCTATCTATCTATCTATCTATCTATCTATCTATCTATCTATCTATCTATCTATCTATCTATCTATCTATCTATCTATCTATCTATCTATCTATCTATCTATCTATCTATCTATCTATCTATCTATCTATCTATCTATCTATCTATCTATCTATCTATCTATCTATCTATCTATCTATCTATCTATCTATCTATCTATCTATCTATCTATCTATCTATCTATCTATCTATCTATCTATCTATCTATCTATCTATCTATCTATCTATCTATCTATCTATCTATCTATCTATCTATCTATCTATCTATCTATCTATCTATCTATCTATCTATCTATCTATCTATCTATCTATCTATCTATCTATCTATCTATCTATCTATCTATCTATCTATCTATCTATCTATCTATCTATCTATCTATCTATCTATCTATCTATCTGTTATTTTATCTCTCATGCATCATGAAATAATACAGACTTGCTGACGTTAGATTTTTAATATGTGGCTAAGTGACTAGTAGGAAGTAAGATTTACTTAAACTAGAAACTAAATAACTATGTCCTAATATATTTAGATACCTCAGCAACATATTCTTTAACTAGAGCATTGGTTTTTGACTTCCCGAGTCAGTCACGCGAGTTTTCAAAGTTTTACGATGCATCAAGGTTGTTTGGAAAGTGAATATCTATGTGGAGATGTGAACGATATAATAGTAGAGAAATAGATCATTCGCTGAACTAAATTTCAAAGCTTAATTTAATACTACTTGGATCATTTAGGTTCACTTAATTCTTACTCATTAAGAGAATCTCGGATATAGTTCCTGTCTACGATCGAATCTGTTTGTAGATGAATGAAAGTTTAGGTTATAACAGAAAACTTATTATTCATCAACTATAAATTATGCTTATTAGTATATTAACATATCTCAAGACATCAGTAAAGAAACTTGTAACCAGTTGTTAAAGCAGAGCTATCGTATTCTGTCGTAAGGATGCCCAAGAACCAAGGAGTCCAAGCGTCAAAGATTAGACTAAAAACTTCAATAAATGTGTAATTATTCGAAGAACATTGTTGCTCATTAATTATGCGTCCCAAAGAAAGTAGAATTTAAATAGCTTTAGGAGTTATACAATTTATGAACTTAGAAGTTGATGTTAGTAAGTTAGGGAGTTATTCTAATTGATTTGTCTAGTTTCAAACAAGTAGATCTTCAAAATGAAAAATAGGGTAAATCGAAAGTCAGCAATAAACAATGGTACTAATATCTTATTTGATCAGCTGCTACGTAATCTGTTTTCCTATATCTTTGTATCAAAACACGCAGCAAAAAAGTCAACTGCTAGCACACAAAAAGAGGAATTTTCAACGAGATGAAGTAAGGAAATCTTGTGATTAGCGGTAGAAACAAACTATAGTATACCTATGTCTATGTAATGTGAAATACTTTTCATTTATCAGGCTTGAAATATTTCTGCCTCTAATAGTAAATAACTCACAACCACCAATCCACCTTTCGTTCACATATTACCCCCTATATTGTTTTCTTTGTTGTTTTATTCATAAGTTAGCCACTGGTAGAGAATTCCCAAGCCACAATCAAATCGACTTGTGCTTTTCACCTTGTGAATTCATAAATGATTGATGGCATGCTGACATACCATATCTATCTATCTATCTATCTATCTATCTATCTATCTATCTATCTATCTATCTATCTATCTATCTATCTATCTATCTATCTATCTATCTATCTATCTATCTATCTATCTATCTATCTATCTATCTATCTATCTATCTATCTATCTATCTATCTATCTATCTATCTATCTATCTATCTATCTATCTATCTATCTATCTATCTATCTATCTATCTATCTATCTATCTATCTATCTATCTATCTATCTATCTATCTATCTATCTATCTATCTATCTATCTATCTATCTATCTATCTATCTATCTATCTATCTATCTATCTATCTATCTATCTATCTATCTATCTATCTATCTATCTATCTATCTATCTATCTATCTATCTATCTATCTATCTATCTATCTATCTATCTATCTATCTATCTATCTATCTATCTATCTATCTATCTATCTATCTATCTATCTATCTATCTATCTATCTATCTATCTATCTATCTATCTATCTATCTATCTATCTATCTATCTATCTATCTATCTATCTATCTATCTATCTATCTATCTATCTATCTATCTATCTATCTATCTATCTATCTATCTATCTATCTATCTATCTATCTATCTATCTATCTATCTATCTATCTATCTATCTATCTATCTATCTATCTATCTATCTATCTATCTATCTATCTATCTATCTATCTATCTATCTATCTATCTATCTATCTATCTATCTATCTATCTATCTATCTATCTATCTATCTATCTATCTATCTATCTATCTATCTATCTATCTATCTATCTATCTATCTATCTATCTATCTATCTATCTATCTATCTATCTATCTATCTATCTATCTATCTATCTATCTATCTATCTATCTATCTATCTATCTATCTATCTATCTATCTATCTATCTATCTATCTATCTATCTATCTATCTATCTATCTATCTATCTATCTATCTATCTATCTATCTATCTATCTATCTATCTATCTATCTATCTATCTATCTATCTATCTATCTATCTATCTATCTATCTATCTATCTATCTATCTATCTATCTATCTATCTATCTATCTATCTATCTATCTATCTATCTATCTATCTATCTATCTATCTATCTATCTATCTATCTATCTATCTATCTATCTATCTATCTATCTATCTATCTATCTATCTATCTATCTATCTATCTATCTATCTATCTATCTATCTATCTATCTATCTGTTATTTTATCTCTCA